ATATAAAGGCAAGCATGTAATGCTCTAGCAATACCAAAAAGTAAATCATTAACTAAACAAACATTCTCACGTCAATGTTGAGTTATAATTTCAGGTTAAAAAAAGCAAACTCCAAAACTGTTAAATCAAGTCGGTCACGCGTCACTCCATTCGAAATGACTGCAACAAGAGCAACCCAGAAAAAGAAGATAAAAAGTAATATATATTAAAGTCCAACAAATAAAATATTTTAAAGTTTTAAATTAAAGTTGAATTTATGTGAAGTGTACTGGACAAATAGAGAGGATATTCGATGGGTCCTCTTTATAAGGATGAAAATCTTTCAATAATTTATGTTTATTGTATATTATAAGGTCAGTTTTTATCAAATATTATTTATATTTAATTTTAAATAAAAAAATTTATAATAATTTTTTTTCATACGATATATGATAAACAAATATAATTAAAAAATCTTACCATCCTCACAAAAGGAGCGGACGAGTAGCTTTGGCTGGACAAAGGCAAAAAAAAAAAAAAAAAAGGTACGACTCAGAGCCAGGGACCGAGTCAGCCACTGAGCCAAAAGCGACAGTGTACGCTCTAACCCACCCACACACATTTCCGCATCTCTATTTCTGTACACTGTTTATTGCCATTTTACTATAATTTTATTTTATTTTCTTTTGTTGTTCTCTATTTTTTCCTTCTGAATTGTCATATTAGTCTCGGAGAAAATCTGTAAGGTATGGGTATATTATTAATATGACGGTCCACAAATCAGGAATACAAAAAAAAAAATTTAACTTTGCTCCAAGTTCATTTTTAATTATCTATGTGACCAATTCAAAAACTTTATGCTTACGATTAAAACTGTTTATATTATAAATCACCTGTAATTATTTCTTAAAAAAATCAATTAAATATGAGGTCGTTTAATTAGCGAATTATATGAAAATAGATGAAAAATTTTGGAAAAAAAGTTATGAACCGACTATCTATTTGCTAACTAAAAAACTTTAATTTTAAATAATTTTTTATAAAGATAATTTTTTTACAAAATAATTTATAATATAAATAATGTCGATTATAAGCACGAAGTTTTGCACATACAAAAGTACGTAATTTTTTTATAGGGAAACACGGGACTCTCTGACATCTCATGTTTTTAGTACAATTCTCCGTACCAACACTATAAAATTTTGTGTAAAAAATATGAAGTGGTGGAGAGTTCTACTTTGAAATAGTCTCTTTAGCATTTATCTTCTCTTTTTTATATATACGGCATGGATCATTGGCACGAAATGTTATGATGGTGACATGTAAATTTTTGAAGGTCAAACTGTGAAGTAATCGAAATCGACGGCTGCCATGCTCTTACTTTATGGTGCATTGAGTTAATTACCAAGAACAATTATACTTCTTTTTCTTTGTTCTGTCAATCAACAAATATACTCTTTACTGTATGATTGTAAGAGTTGAGATCGAAATTGATCCTCTGTACTATTTTTTTTTCCTTTCTAGATTCTACCCCTTGTATTCAAATTGAAACTGCTCCCCAAATTACAATTTAATTTATATGGTGTCAGGATTTTTTTTTTTGTTACACCGATATATTTATGCTAAGAAACGAGGGTATAAATAAGTTATTAACTCGTTAATTACGAAATTCATTGTTATTTTTCACTTACAAAAGTAGATAAATAGCTACAAACAGTAGCACTAAGTAACGGTGTCATGATCATAGTTAACATGCATAGTTGTTTCGGTCATAAAAACCTTAATTATAATTAGCAAAAAGTTGTGGGCCCAACTTTTTGTATAGTTGTACCGTCAAGTCTTTAACCGAGTATGTAAGATCATCTTCAATGAAGAGGGTTAAAGATACAAAAGTAAAAAAATGACTTGATTTGTTTAAAAATTTATCTCGAACCGATGACTGGATTGTAATTTTATGGAACTCACCATACTATTATTTGGCCAAATGGGCATCATGCTGGTCAAATGTAGTCTCTTTCTTAGCCTTTTTCTGGGCACACCTCTTCAGTTGTAATAATTGATTTAAATTCAACGGCTATATTTGACAACACCCAACAATAGTTTAATTAAAATAACAATAAATTTAAAGTATAAATTTAAAACTAATAAATTATTGAGGGAACTATATTTAGCCTATTCGATTAGATATGATATATGAGTATGACATGCAATTGTTCATTTAAAAATAATTTTTTACAAAACTATAATTTTGGACAAAATTATATTTAGCTATTCCAATTGGAAATGTCTTAAAAAACCTTACGAGTGGTTACAAATTTATCACAGCTTTGCTAAGTTGTAACTCTTTGTTTTTACAGAAGATTTGTTGTCGATTTCCCTTTACAAATGACGTGATTGATGATTAGTTCGTTAAAAGACAATGAAAAGAGAAGACTGATTGATTTAAGGTGGTTGATTAGTCCATTTCATCGTCACATATCATAACTTGGGACCATAAGGAAAGGAATTTAAATTCACTTCGGGTCTTTCTCTTCAGAGTTAAAAGATCAAAAATTCAAACTAATTAAGAGAGAGATGGAGATTCGAATTCTTAATTTGTATGAGATAAATTAAAAGAATAGACCAATATGGACCATATGATTTAAAATGAACAGTTTAGATCTTTGAATTTGTTGGCAACAGACGTAGAAATTTGGAGAGTTCTCAGGACGGACTGTGAATGGTGTGTTATATTATTATGTGATTACTACGTGTCCAGCTGTAAAGTGAGGATGGAGTAATGGGACTGCATTTATGGGTAGTAGAGTACAAAGTCCTGTGCGTTGCTAAAAGTAAACAACCGTGGCCAAAGGCAGGGCCTTTCCATTTTGTTGTCGTAAACTCACAGCCTATCACCGCCACCTCCAAAGTCTATCTCCAAATGTCTGCCTCAATTGCAAGCTGTTTTCCTTGCATTGTATGTGCCAATAATAGGTACGTATGTAAAGATCAATTTCAAAACCCATAAAAAAAGTAAGTGGTTAAGACTCACTAAATTGAATTTCGTGATTTTGATTCCTTTATATTGGTTGGGTTTGATTCTAAAGACCCTCTTTATACAATATTTTGAGTTTAATATATAGTTGTGAAACTCGTTGAGTTCACACTGATCTCAAACGCATAAATGTTATTTTATGTAATAAACTTGGATCACAAGATTGGAAGTGCCTGTAGTATCTCCTATGCGGATAATAAGATTTTTTACGGTGTTCTATAGTATTAGATATTTTAGATTTTTAACACTTATAATTTTGAACAAAACAAAAATTAAGATTTAATAGTAAGTACGGAATATAAGATACTTCAGAGCACCATAAAATTTTTGTGTGGAGAATATGTTGTATAAATCCAATATGGTCATCTGATGAGTGAGGTAATCAATAGTATTTGCTATATTTATCGAAATCTTTAGTCATTAGATCCTTACTAACACATCGAGCTCTCCATTTGTTTCGTTCATCTCATATAACGCGAAACGTAGTAAAATTTTTGCCCTCATAAACTGCTAACATTGTAACAAGGTGAAAGCTAGACTTTGACCCAACTAAAAAAACATATTATTCTCTCCAATTAAAAAAACATGGGTTAAAAATTAAAGAGAAAGCAAGAAGATTGTTGGGGCATATGATTATGGATCTCGGGAAAGAAGGTACGCGGAAACCTTCACCTGACCGGGTCCTTGCACTGCACTGCACAGGCAGGCTGCCTCCTCTCCTCTTCCTCTCGCGATTCTTGTGTTAATTTCAATAAGATATTATACATGTATAATATCTTATTGAAATCATATTGTTCGAACAAGTTGACTATCGTTGATGTTCTAAAAATGGAAATCAGTTTTTTATGGTTCATTCGATTTTAGTGCTAATTTAGCTTCGAGCTGAATTGGTTTTGTCTGTTTTTATTTTTAAAAATAAATGAGTACCTTATACATAAACGTCACATATCCTCGGTGGGGGATATTTTGGTCAAAGTAGTTCTGCTACTAAAATGCCCTTCAAAAGTAGTAAGGTAACATTATATCAACTTTTGTAATGAAAGTTACTTTCTATCTTTATCCGTTACTTTGCAGTAGTTTAAGGACCAACTTAGTACAAAAAAAAAAAAAAAGGTTTGAAGAACCAGAATGGAAACTCTAAAAATTTGGAGGGAAATGCCAAAGTAACCCTATAGAATACCAGTAAGTGACAAAATAAAGAGGAGACATACGATGTACAATTTGTATTTGTATATTTTGGATTTTGGACAAACTGTGTAAACAAATTGGTATTTTCAAGTAATTTCCGCAGACACATAAATTTGTTGGTCTGGTGAGTGAGATGCGTAGAAAGACTCACCCTCCAAACCGGATCCTATTCCCTACTCGCTCAGTGCTCTCTGCTGCTGCCACCAATTTGCGACCATATTTTTTCTTTTTGAATTTTTTATTTTTTCACACCGATATTTTATTTAGAAAACTAATAAAAAGAATTTAAAAATTTTAAATTTTAACAGTAATGGTGAAATAAAGTGTAAAATAAATAGTACCAGAATTAACTTTTTAATGTAAAAATATAATTTTTCTTTAAAATGAATAGTACCAGAAGTTTTTCGTTAAAGTTCTGTATTTTACTATATTTATATCTCTTTTTATATTACTTTAACTAGTTTAGATAAGGAATCAGTCACTAATTAAATATCGAACATTCAAAGTAAAAACAAATGTATTACAGTTTTGTTACTTATATAAGTTAAAAATGTAATATTTTCTTTATAAATGAAAAAGAATCTCACTAACCAGTAATTGCCGTGACCATGTTTTTTCAATGGGAAAAGTTAAGAAGACTTTGTTAAAAATAGGATTCTCCGTGAACTTTCCGGCACTTCATGATTTTGTACAATTTACATTCTAATAATATAAAATATTATGTAAAAATATAAAGCAGCGGAGAGTTTACAGAGTTTACTCTTTTTCAATATTTGACCCGTATTTATTTCTTCCCATTATTTTATAATAATTCGCATATCACCATCTCAGCCTCGATTTCTACCCCCTGCTCCCTTCAGATTTGAATCATGAAGTCTCCTCATTCCTTCCTCTCTCTCTCTCTCTCTCTCTCTCTCTCTCTCTATGCTCCTATATTAGCTTCCATCTTCTCAGAGCCTTCAAAACCTCCCTCCTTTGAAAGCTGAAACCTCTTCAACTTTTTGATTTGATGCAGCTGAAATTTATCGTCCAAAATCTGTTTTTGCTTAATTTGTTACACTAATCCGTTTTTTTTTTTTTTTTTTTTTTTTTTTTTTTTACAAAAATCCCCTTTGAAAGCTGCAAGCTTTTTTAGATGAACATGGCGGCACAGAAGCACTTACACGAGCTGCTAAAAGAAGACCAGGAGCCGTTTCTGCTCAAGAACTACATTGCCGATAAACGCTGCCAGCTGAAAAGTGTTTCCACCAAGAGCCAACAAAACTTACAGGTCAAAAAACGCAGACCCATCTCCCAAGTTTCAAACTTTCCCGGCAATCTCTGCAAAAACGCCTGCTTTTTCTCCCTCCAAGACTCGCCGGACCTCAGGAAATCCCCGCTCTTTGACTTCTCGTCGCCAGCGGCCAAAAGCCCATGTAAAAGCCCCAACGCCATCTTCCTCCAAATTCCGAACAGAACTGCCGCCCTGCTCGTGGAAGCCGCGATGAGGATTCAGAAGCAGTCGGCGAATTCTAAACCAAAAACCCAGAACAAAAATCACGGGTTCGGGCTATTCGGGTCGTTTTTGAAGAGGTTAACGAATCGGAATTTGACCCGAAAGCGGGAAGTCCACGGCGAGGGTGGGGTTCAGGTCTCGGTGAATGACATTCTCCGGTGGGATTCGTCAGTCGGGAGGAGAAAGATTTCTTCCGATCAGGTGGAGGAAAAGGTTGAGTCTTGTTTGGAAGTTGAGGACAAAAGTGCTTCTCTGATAAGCACTAGGAGGCCCAGCAGTGCGGTGTGGTCCGAAACCAATGAAGCCACTTCAAGCAGCTGCAGCCAGTCTGAGGAGGACACAGCCGATACAGATTATGCTTGTAATTGTGAAAAGCTTATTGCTTTTTGCGAAAGCCCTTTCCGTTTCGTCCTCCAACCAACCCCCCCTCCGTCCGGCAGCCGGACGCCGGAGTTCACGTCGCCGGTGACGTCCCCTAGTCGCCACAAACAAGAGGTTTGTCTTTTTCTTTGGCTTTTACCAACTCTGTTTTTTATTGCCATGACTAAATAATTTAGACACCGAGCTGGGGACTCGGTCTGCTTAACGGACGGTCCGAGTCAACTCACTGGGGAACTTACAGAATTGTCGGCAACATGATCAATTTTGTATAGATTTGGGGTTGGAAATTTAGGCAGATTGGAGGGTTATATGTGTCAATTTGTGTGATCAACAAGTGTATACTTTTTGTATGTAAGTGCTGCATTGTAAATCTCTTTGTTGCAAGACACCGTCTAGTAATATTATTTGATAGGAAAAGACAAATTTGGCCTTGTTTTCCTGTGTTGGATCCCATCATGGAGTCCCGACATTTGAAAAATTATGTACTTTCTGTTGTTGGTCAGACACATTCTCTAAAATTTATAAGAAAAGTCAATCGGCCATGCAATTATGGATCTGGGATTTAATCTAAATTGTTATTTTATTTCTTAATTACATATTAGTGTTTTGATTAGGGTTTTGATGTGTTAATAGGAGGAGGGGTTGAAGAAGTCCCAAGCAGAAGTGGAGGAGGCGGAAGAGAAGGAACAATGCAGTCCTGTTTCTGTATTGGACCCTCCGTTCCAAGACGACGACGAGGCACGTGACCGTGACGGTGAGGACGATGACGACGAAGACGGTTGTGATTTGGAGTGCAGCTATGCCAATGTACAGAGTATGTAATAATTCCCATGCTATACTAAACTTTTGTACCCTTGTTTGTTTGTGTGGTCCATTTCATTGAGCTTGTTACTGTTTGTTATGTACTACATGAAAATGCTTAGCAAAGATTGTTTTGTCATGACACCATGCTTATCTTTGTGGGATCCATAGCCGGATTGCATCTCCATGTTCTTATCGAGTGTTGGCTCAGATCGTATTGGTCAGAACGCTTGTTTTATTGCGTTCTATACTGATGCAACGTACGTGGATTTGCAGTTATAACTGCATATGTGACCCACTGTTTGTTTTCTGATGTCAATGTGCGTATGTTAGTTCAACCCTAGTCGTTCATTTCAAATTTGTGTACTGTGTTTTGAAAGTTTTTGGCGGTTTTCGGTTTTGATCAGACCCTTGTTTTTTATTTATAGGCTCATTGATTCCCCTGCTTCAAAATATGGCAATCATTAATCTAGTTTCTGCATTTTTTTTTCTTCCTGTTTTGTGGTGGAACCCGTTGGAGGCACGAGAGTTGTTCCCTTCCCCCGCTCTGTTTTTCCTCGCATCATTACAACTAAATAGAGTTCCGTATATAGGACATGAGAGTAGGAGAGGTTCAGTTCAAAGTTTCGAAATTAGAACTGCACATTAATAGAAGTTGGAAGTATGCATATGTTTGTGTATGTGCCTTTATTTTATTTACCCATCACAGGAACAAATGTTGGTTCCCATATGTGGTAATTAACGTAATAGGTTATTTTTGAGTGTATGGACAAGCCTAATAGCACTTTTAAAATTTTCAAACAAGTAACTAATTTGGTATTTCCTGCGTTGAATTTGCAGGAACAAAGCATCACCTTCTGCAGAAGCTTCGTAGATTTGAGCAATTGGCGGGGTTAGATCCAATTGAACTCGAGAAAAGAATGCTAGAAGAAGATGATGATGATGATGAATGCGAAGAAGATGAGTCTGATACATCAGATAGCAGCAGTGAAGAAACTCTTGATGGGCTTCTCAGAGAAGTACTTTCCAAATTAAACTTTCCTTGTAACAAAAGAATCCCGAAGATGTGCAGATATTGGCCATGGATCTCATTGTCGAGGAGCAGAGAGAAGATGATTCGTCCGACAGAAGAGAAGAGGTGGTGAGACAGGTCTGCAAGAGATTCGAGTCCTGGAAAGAGGTGGAGTCGAACACCATTGACATGATGGTGGAACAAGATTTTCGAAAGGAGCTCGACGAGTGGAAGAAAAGTCAAGATCAAGTGGGAGAGACTGCAATGGAGATTGAACTTGCCATCTTTAGCCTGCTGGTGGAGGAAATGGCAATTGAACTAGTTTGATTAACTCGAAAATTAATCAACCGGGAAAGGCTTGATGTTAAGGGGACTATTCCAAAGAGTTTTGGCATAAAGTTTTAAATTTTTGTTTCCAAATCAAAATATGATCACTTGGAGATAGTCTGACATGCACTGTGAAGCAGGAAATAGGCATAAGATGGTAGCATGCCAGAGGAAGTAATTAGAGGGACTTGGGGTTAGGTGGGTGACATGTATATGGATCATGTATGTAGTTGAGGGGCACCGGTGTATCTACGTATCCGTACGTATTTAGACATGGCATGTACAATTCTTGGCCCTTTTAAATACCCATATTATTTCCTAAATTTTATCAGTTTTGCATTTGTAATTTCTATTCTTCTTTTCTCGGCACTCTTTCACTTGTGTTATAACTTTTGAACTGAACAACTCATTTAAAGAATAAATGCACATAAACAACGAGAGTAGTGTAGAAGAAGAAATTATGCGTGGAAATCATTACTCTTTTTACACAAAAACAACAAGAATACTGTCTAAAGGAAAAGGTACGTGAAAATCATTACCCTTTTTGCACAAAAACAACGAGAATAGTGTTTAAAAGCATAAAACTTTAGTACATCAAAGTATGATAAAACGAGAAAGATTCAGAAAGTGTCAAGGATCCAATAAAGTGGAAACCTACACTTTACCAAACCAATATTCTTTGGCAAGGAAGCCAAGCAATTGAGTTGAAGAGTGTCTTGACAAACGAATAAAGCTAAGGACTTGAGACACTTAACACGAATTGATAAGCCTTGTTGTTCTTCTTTTTGGTTTTTGCTTATATTGGATAAAATTAAGTTGGGATAATGATATGTTAATCTTGTCTTTTTGCAATAATTGACATTATTGAACCCTTTATTAGTTCAATGTATTGTAGTATGTGACTAACTAGTACTCGGGAGTGTTGCAAAGTTCTCTCATCTTCTAATTTAAATCTTCTCAATTCTACTCATGTCACGTGTACTCTATTAGTACGCAAAACTAATTAGTATTGTGGTAGTGATAGGACTGTCTACTCGGCTATATTATTGACCAAGATCATAGCTACAAAACAATCATTTTATTAAGTGGACACTGTTTGACTTCTTACATGTAAAAAGTCATTTGTCCTTAGTTGTCGATGACAATTTAATATATATAGTCTGAAAATATCTCATTAAAATAGAAAGTTTTGTTTTGTTTTGTTTTTTTTTTTTAACATGTCATAATATAATTGATCTGCTAGAAGAGATGACTCCTTACATTTAAAGAGCCAAACATTTTCATATGAAACATCAAGGGAGTGGAAGTAGAAAAACGAAAAGTGGAAACGGAAGTGGATCAATTTCGAATGGCTAGATATTCACACCCATTTAACTAATTATTGACTAGATGCGAGCTACATAGCAACCTTCTTTGCATACGCATTTTTGCTTAGACATTTATGCATCTAAGTTCGAATTTCTTTTTATGAATATTTATATGAGTTTAGAGTAGAGTATCGTTGTTATAATTCCTCGTTTCATAAGTCTCTTCTCATATGCCCCATAGGCTTGTAAGTTTGGCAATAGTTTAGGGTCCTCTGGGTTGGTGTTAGCCTGGTTCGGTTTGTTGTTAGCATTTCTAGGCCCATATCTCTTGCTTCTTTCACTTATAACATGGGTAGGATAAATGACGGACCCAAACGGCCGGTTGGACCGGTAGGCTAAAGATACAAATCAAACTCTTCTTAAAAAAACTAGAAACTACGTAAAATACAGAGGTATTCGTTGATTTTCACCTGAATTTGTAAATAATTGTCAATTTTTTTTTATGAATTTTAATTTTAATCAATTACTCCCTCTGAATTGTTATAATTGGCCAATTTTCTCTCTAGACTTTAATTTAGCTAGTTGCCTCTTTGAATTTTTTTTAGAGTAAAAGTCCATTGTTCATGATATACAAAGACACGCATATGAAAAACAAATCAATGACCTCTAAAAAGCCTTGACGAACAAAACCTAGTGGGAAAAAACTCAACGAAGGAAAGAGGCCCCACATGCATATTAAACTTAGACCTTCACCACAGACTTAGAGTGGCGAAGGTCCATAAGCCCCAATGGACCAGTATCCACCCACATTGATAACTCACAACATTGTAGGCTGAATCGGGCTAGATGATGTGCAATCCCATTAGCATCCCTTGAAACATAGTTCATGAACACTTGGTTCACATGCAAAAAAGCTCGAATGCTATTGGCATAAGCACCATCAGCAGCCAAGCACTCCTTATCTTGGTTAATTAATTGGACAGACCTCAATGAATCTGATTCCACTATCAACTGAACACAACTAAAGTTCAGGGCCAATTCCAATGCTTTCTTGATCACATGAAGCTCTAAAGTAAGGATTGAAATCAGAGGAGCAGACATAGACAACACACATACAAGATCACCATTAGACCCACGAACAATCGCTCCAATTCCACAACATCCATTCATCACATCCATCCCACCATCAACATTTAATTTGAAAAAACCCACCGTCGGGGGGACCCATGAACTGATTCGATGTTCTGGCGATGAAGTACTTCTATGGGCAATGACGAATCTAGGATTTTAGTATAGGGTGGTCCTAACTTCTCAAACCCCGAATCAGACCATGATACCAAATCCACTATTTTTTTCCTCATGCAACTATGGCAGCAAGGAAAGAAAGGTGGTGCAAGTCGCGACCTGTGAGTGGGTAGGTGCAGATGTCCTTCCATGGCAAAGAGAGGGTTGGAATATGAGTGGGCAAGGTTGGGTTCGACGGAAGATGTTTTGGCGGAGGGGAGGGCTTAGCGGGGGAGAGGCTTTTGCAGATGAGATTTGTGGCAGACAACAACATAGGCTTAGAAGGAGAGATTGGCTGTTTGGTTATGGGTGCAATGTTAGAGTTGGTTGTTTGGTTATAGATTTAGAGAGAGTTTTGGTTGACATGTGTCTTTTATTTATTAGTGGTCAGTAAAACAATACAGTGATTAGTCAGTGTCTAAATATTATCTTTTTTAATGGTTTGGCTCAAAATGTATCGTTTTGGCCAAGTAATGTGAAAGAAAAGGTCATATTCTTTCTCCTTCTGTTTTGCAGAAGGTGCTCGGCGGCCATGGTTGCTCTTTTCCTCCACCACAGCTCAGATTTGGGTGTTCCTTGGAGGTTTTCATAGCCACTTTTCTGAGCCTTTGGGTGGTCCTGGGACCACCTTGGTCCCTTAATAGACCATGGAGAAGATTCATAGTTGTTCACATTAGGGATAAAATTCAAACAAAAAAAATACATAGTGAATTAGGGGAAGAGAAGAAGAAGAAAAATACAATATGTTGTCTACATTATGGATAAAAGTTTAGATGGTTAATCAGCTAAATTAGTGTTGAAGAAGGATATTGGCCAATAACAAAAGTTAGGAGGGTAATTGATCAAAATTAAATTTCATGAAAAAAATTGTCAACTCCTTATAAATCTGAGAAGATAAAATCGACAAATAACTCTGAAATATAAAGCACCTGTTCACCTTTCTTCCACGTGTGGAACAAATAGTTGGGAACGAAATCAAATTTTTTCAGTACTGATGCACGTGCCATTATTTTAAAAGGAATACAATTTAAGCACATGATCTTTTGTGGGACAAGTCACACCCAACAGGACCAACATTTAATTACGTTTTCCAAATGGTCCAAAATCTGACTTCTAGTAGCGCACTGCCAAATTCCACAAATAATGTATATAAAACTCAGTACTGGTGAATAATTGGACGCACCACCGTCCTCAACCTCTCATAGTTTAATGGGGATCTTGTTCTACAAAAATCCTAAAACATAAATATATTGAACAAGAATGTTAAGGAATCTCTCTTTAAAGTGAAATTTTTTATAGACATGTCATCTCATATTTTTAGCGCAATGTTTCATAATGTTGGCACGAGAATTAAGTTAAACTGTGAGATAGTAGAGAATCCATAAAAAGTTTCATTTTAAAAGAGTCTCCTTAATATTTATCTATATGGAATAGTCTACAAACGGAGAATATATTTTTACTTACTATGATTTAGTACATTTATTTTCACATAAAATTAGAAGTTAAAGGTTGAATATCCTGAATCACAAGTTTGATAAATTTATTTCTATATTGTTGCATTAAAAAAGAAAAAAACTTTGCGTACATTGGGAATCATTCCATGTGTTGTAATACAAGTGAGGACATAGTTGATATGGAGAAATTTTTATACATAATGAAAATGCAAAGTCACGTGGTATTCCATTTCACCTGTTATAATAAGAATGAATAACATAATTGATGTCATATTTCAAAATATTTTAATAAAAATTAATCACATATTATAAAGTTGAATGATAAAGATGACTGTGTTTTAAGGGGCGTTTGTTACACCTCTTTAGGATGGACTGGCTTGGACTGGCTTGGACTAGCTTAAATAAGACCATAATCCTGCGTCTTAGACTAAAATAAATAGGACTCGCCCCGACTAAGAGTCCTTCCTCGCTTCGCTAACCCTAGCTATCTAATCCCAAGCTTTCCCTTGGTGTTAAGGCGGACTAGAAAGGAAACGAGGCCAACATCCCCAATCCCCAACTTTCACTCCAATCCCTCTGTGCTCCACTTCTTCTTCTATGGTGCCGTCATCATGGCCAAGCTGTGGGTTGCTACACCGCCCAAGTACCCAACCCAACCTTCAAAGAAACCCATCAATAACATTCAACCATCCAGAAGGCAAACAAACAATTTCCATGGAATTTTATAGAATATTTGTGAAAGAAGAACAAAAATTGAGGAAAGAAAAAGGTGCAGTACTCCGCCTTCTTCTTCTGTGCGCTATGCGGATTAAGAGGTTACTATCCAAATTGTTGTTGTCGGTAGATGATACGGCCAAAATCAGTGTGTCGGTGGTGACCTACTGTCGTTGGACGGTATACCCGAGAAGTGGATCGAGAGGTTAGCGATGAAGGATGGGGGTTTTTAGGGATCGAGAGGTTAGTGATGAAGGTTTGAGATGGGTTTTTGAAGTCTTAATTAAATTGCGAATCTAGGTTGTCTTGAATAGTAGTGTGATCTAGGTTGTCTTGAATAGTAGTGTGATCTAGGTTTGTGAAATGAGCATTGATTGTTAGCTTGTAATTTCACGAATTCAATTGGAGGGTTTCATAATTTTCTTTTATTTTAATAGAAAATAAATTAAAATATAATAATAACAATAATTTATTGTTAGTCTAGCTTCTAGTCCAACACTGCACTAAAAGCTTCACTAAGCTAGTCCAGCTTAGTCTAGTCTAAGTCAGTCCAGCTTAGTCCCTGAAGCTAGTCCAGTTCGAGATAGTCCGATACAACAAACGCATCCTAAGTGTATTGAAAATTACTTGGTGATATTTCCATAACTTTATATATTAATAAAATAAATAATTGATGACATTAAATGTCTCGGATAAATCATAAAATCTCTTGTCGAAAAGCTAAGATATACTTTAATTAAAAATAAATAAACATTATGAAATGGCCATGGTAACCTACCATCTATGACTTGCGCATCAGAGAAATGGTCCCCTGTCCAGTCTCCACCCATCAAAATAGAAATCAAAGTAGATAGTATATAAAACATAAAGCACTTTAGAGCCTTTTTCTCCCACGTGGGGTTTTACATTTCTGGAACCCCCAGCACTTCCACGTTTAAATATTTTTCAAATACACCTGGGACCTCAATCCACAAAATGACATTCAACACGTTTAAAATACTTGCATGCAACATTGGTCACCTTCAATAGCTTTCTTTCTTCTTCTATAACTATCAATATCCCTCATTTGCAAATCCTAGCTAGATACTTCTTCATTAACAATGGCAAATTTAACCGATGATAGATCGTCTTCAACTTCGATTATTTCTGTTCCAACCCTAATGCAAACTAGTATGGGGGTGGTTAAAAAGAGAAAGGCAGGGAGGAAGAAGTTCACAGAGACTAGGCACCCAGTTTACAAAGGTGTGAGGCAAAGGTGTGGGAAGTGGGTGTGTGAGCTGAGGCAACCGGATCACAAGAAATCACGGATATGGCTCGGAACTTTCACTAGCCCTGACATGGCTGCTAGGGCTTATGATGTTGCAGCCTTGGCTCTCAAGGGTGAGTCTGCTTCACTCAACTTTCCTAACGAGGCAACTGCTTTGCCGCGCTTCGAGTCGAATGCTTATACCGTAAAGGACATACAACGTGCTGCCTTAGAGGCTGCCGAGGCATTCTTGGAGGTTAAAGGTAAAGCCTCTTCATCTTCTTCTTTGAAGTTGGAGAAGGTAGAGGAAGAAGAGGTGAGAAAAGTTGTGTATTTGGATGAGGAGGAGTTGTTCAACATGCCGGGGTTGATTGATAGCATGGCTGAGGGTTTGATCCTCACTCCACCATCCCTGCAAAAGGGTTTTAATTGGAACGAATATGACGACGACGACTGGGGGAATAATACTACTGACATTTCCTTGTGGAGTGACTGATTCTTTTCAATATTTTTTCTGGCGGGCGGGTACTTCTATTTATTCTTAATTTGAATTTGATCATCTTGTAGTTGCTCGTTCAATTCAATATATGCAAGTGAGTGAGACATATAGAATTACATTTAAATTTAATTTATATTCCTTTTTAATTAGTGGGTTGTGATCCATGATTACTTATACTACATTTTATATCTCTATCAATCTACTATGTGTCACCCTTTATATGTGTGTTATTTTTGTCATTAATAGTATGTTGAATTTGATTTGAAACATTTTCATTATTATGAAGATAAGTAACACTAGGCCAAAATCGACATATGAGAGTTGGAATTGACAAAAAATAAGGCATGACGACTGGAAGGAGAGATTCAGTATTTGAGGAAGTATTTATCAATTAAGTCTTGTCATCTAGTTATATGAATAATACTTGGCAAATTAAACGATGAGTAGGAGTTCCTACTCAAAACTTTTTGTTTTTAATTTATAAATTTTCGTGTTTATAATCATAACCGTTTCTATCATAAATCATTTTATAAAGATCATGTCTACAAAAAATCAATTAAAAGTAGGGTATTTTTAGTCCTTGAATTGTATAAAAATAGATAGACGAAAATAGTAAAAGCATTACAAACCGTCTATTTATTTTCTACAGTTGATTGACTTAATGACCTTAGTTTTAATCCATTTTTTTGCAAAGATGATTTTTACAAAGTGATTTATAGTATGAACGGTTCCGATAATATATAAGCACAAAGTTTTGTGAGTCAGACATGAATTTTGAGTAGCCAAGCATTGCTCTAATTATATATGAACATTGCTTGGCTACTCAACAATGAGTAGGAACTCCTACTCAAAATAATTACAGAGCATTGTGCTTATAATCAGAATCTTTCATATTATCAATCACTTTGCAAAGATCATCTCTACAAAAAAAAAAAAAAAGAATTAAAACTAAAGTCATTTAGTCAATCTATTGTAGCAAATGCGTAGATCCGGTCCATAATGCTTTGCCAATTCCTTTCATCTATTTTTATACAATTAGATGACTAAACAACCTTAGTTTTAATTGATCTTTTACAAAGGTAATTTTTATAGAGCGATTTATAATGTGAACGGTTCCGATCATGAACTAAAAGTTCTATAAATTGGCAACGAACAATTATGAATAGAAACTCTCACTCATTCTTTGAGTAGTCAAATATTTTTCAGTTATATATACTGCTTCTTCCAATTCTCAAATAAGTTCTTACTTTTTACTATGATTTTCCGTATGCATAATGCAGGAGAAAAAAGGGGCCAACTCTAACATGAATTTGATTCCAAGTGGGTTTACTAGTAATGGGCTTTAAACTTCTAAAATTAAATAAATAAAAATAAGATTTGTTCATGGGCTTTGAATTAGAAGCTTTCAAATGAGCAATTTTCTTTGGTGCACATGCCCATCTGCACATCATATATTCACATGTGAACAACAGCCCTTGGATTCAATTCGAATGTTATTTTGTATATTCGGTTGTGTGTACTAAAAAAGCCCTCTTCAAATGAGTTCTGTCACAAATTTGTTCATGAACTTCTCAATCCAAAATGTAAGTTTTGTTGTAGGCATAATTTACTGAACAATTATGAAGGTCATAGAGAAAGAAAGGTGCGGCAATAGTAGAGAGAAGAGAGAGATTTGTAATTGTGGGTGTGTTTGATTCATCCCATTGTGCCTTTATTTATAGTAGTAGAAAGGGTAAAACCTTTCCCTTTAGGATTACAACATTTAATAGGTAATTTAATCCTAATAGGAATATATAATACTTTCCCAGATTCCCTAGGATTTGCACAATCACATTCCTATTCTAAATATGACTGCAACACTCCCCCTTAAGTGTGTCAATACTCAACAAACCATTGCATTACATTCTTCAGCATATAAGGTAGAATAGTTGATGAAGTCATCGGCACAACGGGTGATCGCGAGTCTCAAATTTACTTTGAAGTATGCATTTGTAAAAACTCACAAAAACCTTGCTATGATAAAACCCAAGGAATGGGGAAAACCCATAGACTAAGGAGAAAAGTAAGAAAAATATGCATAATGTCTAAAACGCTCGTCAAACTGGACAAAGGTAGTGAACTCAACGGAGTATGGTCATCTTGGGATGGGTGCCTCATTAAAACCTAGTTAGGTAGCAAAAACCCAATGGGAAAAATGCTCCTAATCGTAGGGGAAAAGAGTACATTAAGATCATGTGAGTATGCTTCAAGATTTCCCCATGAGTTAGACATAACTTCTAAATAAGAGAACTACAAGCAATTCAACTCAGATAATTTACGCATATCGATTCCTTGGATGAGCTTCTGAAATGTAGACTTGGGCAATGACTTGGTGAATAGATCGGCCAAGTTGTCTTGGGAACGAATTGCATGACTTCAATCTCCTGATGCTTTGTTGATGTAGATGTAGGCGCAATATGTCTTGGCGTTGACTTCATTGATGTATCATGACTTGGTCAGGTTGATACATGTAGCATAATCTTCATGGATCGTCGTCAGGACTCAACGATGGATGAAAACACAACAAGTACTTTGAAATTCTCAATAAGAACTCCTAACCATGTCTCACTTGTGGCATAGTGAAGTGAGGTGAGTCTTGGAACAATTCGAAGATTTCGTAACTATGGTCATATCGTGGACTTCCAAGATATTGCGATATCCCTAACGGTAAAGGCATAACCATTCGGGGATTTTACCTTGTGCGGGTTTGATAAGTAACCAGCATCAGCATAACAAACAAGGCAAGCATTATTCCGAGGATCAGGGGGGTTGGATCTGTTGAGATGCATTGGGATTTGCCCATGTAGTACCTTCAGGGTACGTCTTTAATACCAAATCAATGGTTGCATGTAAACGCGGTGTTATATCTTTACCAATAGATCAATAGTGAAAGAGATGTCCTGTCTAAATGCAATGAACTAAGTACAATAAAGCACAAAGTTGAACTTTAGATATGGAATTTCTGATTCCATAACCTCTTCAAGGTCTCATGTGCATATAACATATGGACGATCAAAGGTATACTCAAAAGTAACACATTCGGGGTGTAGTTCGACTGGTAGACCAAAATACCATCAGAACAATGCTTGAACTTCAGGTCAAAGCATAAATGAGTTTTCCCAAGATCCTTTATCTCAAATTCTATCTTCAGGTGGAAGGCAGTTTTCTCAAGCTCTTTCGGAGTCTTAGTGAGATTCGTGTCAACGACACAAACTGTAACTCTAGCAATTTGGAATAAGACTTCAAAGTTTAACACGCAAGGGCATAATTCATATCCCTGATTTATCAAATAATCACGTAGATGGGTATACCACATTCATCGGATTTTTCAATCCATAAGTGAACACCTCAAAACAAGTTAAGAGGGTGTTCCTGTTGGAAATGTGCCCTAAAACCAATCATATGATGATACTTTACGGACATTTCAAACTAATGTAGTTTAAAGGGCAAACATTATTGTTTGAGCTGTCTCATATAAATGTTATATGCTTAAACGATAAGTCCAAGGAATATGTGATTGGAAGAATGCGATCTAAAGAAGTTAGATTCATGAGACCATTCTTTCGTTGACACATCCTAAACGTTCCTGATCATAGGATTGTTAATTGGGCATTGACAGTCCGTTAAGATCAGTACGTGCTATGTCTTCTCTCAGGGTGAGTGACTAGTCTCGAGTCATTGGTGTGTGTGACATCAAGACAAGTACGTAGGTGCTCAATAGAGAATGAGTTCACTGAACATGATCAACGAAGAGTTCTCATATTCATGTCACATGAGAACTCATGGTTGGGATAATGCAAATTAGTCTTTTGACCTGAGGCATCACAGTTGTCTTGTGGTTAGGTCCTTAATCTTTGATTATGTCAACGTCACTCTATCAGGGTGTCCACGGCATCGTTGGGGTTAAGCCACTTAGCCATGGAGGCAAGTGAATGCGCAACAAGGGATCTCTAACCTTCAAACTGTTTGAGGGAGAATACTCTATGATATGATTTGGAATCTCTGGCCAGAGTATGAATGAGATGTTGGAATGCGTTCCAGATCACATTCAAGGTAATCATATAAGCACAAGATTCACATTGGATAGTAGACATGAATAAACTATCAAACCAAACAATGTGGTCAAGAGTATTGTATTAGAGAAAGACCGTATTGCATTTGTAATCCTAAACTGAATAGGTTCTCCACCTCTTCTGATTAGCTTGGGTAACCATGATATGCTGCTAGGTGTCACTCATGGTTTGTGGAAGCCCTAAAAGTGTATTATCATTAACGGGAGAATTGAAAGTAAGTTTCAATTCACAATCGATTTGAAAGAGTTTGAATCGCCCACTGCCTCGCTAAAAAGAACCTAATGGATCGTACACCGTGTAAGGTAGAGCTTGAAGATTCAACGGAGATGAGTAAGAATAATTAAATGGTTTAATTATTTATGGCAAGGATTAATTAATATGATTATTAATCAAACGAATAAGTTCGTTGAAGACCTCGGGATAGTTTTGGACCTTAAGGCCCAATGGGCTTCGAACGTCAAGTCCATTGACTTAAGTTGTATGACAACTTAATGAATAATGATTCACAAAGGCCCAAATAGCCCAATAAATCCCCTTAAGGCCGGCCATTTAGAGGAGGGTAGTGAACTTGGCTTAATTGCAAGTTTGCCACTCCATTGTGAGGTGGTATAAAGCCATCTTTATAGCCATTTCATCCTAAGGGTTTTCTAGGGAGTAAAGATGAGAACACAAACCTCCCTTTGCTCTCAAAGAATTCGGCTAATCTAGAGGGGAAAATCTAGCAATCTTACTTCCTCTAGGTCACTCATTTCTTCTTTCAATATACCTTGGTGTGGAGACTTAGAGGTTCTCAATTTTGGGAACTTGGAGAAACCTTTTCATCCATCCAAATCCATGGATCCAAGATGCAAGGAATGAAGACCCTCTCTTTGGGTGATTAGCCTTTGCTTATGCAAAGAGGAATCTACAAAGGTATTGATTTCTCAACTCACTTTATTTTTGAGTTGAGTCTTGATTCACCTATCTACTAGGCTTTGAATTTCATGGGTAAATGTTTTGTTTTAAGTGCATACAAGCATGATTCCGCCTTTAATATGTTAATTGCATGCTATTGATGTTGCTTAAATGAACATGTTTTTCAC